TCTATACAATGGAAGGAGACTGCGACCATAAAAAAGACCACACCATCTTGGTCTTCATACTTTCAATAATTAGTTATTACTCAGCTTATCTACTTGATATACTATCGCGTAGTTTTCCACGTTAACTTCTGATTGGACAACGCGATGTTAAGCTTTGATTAGTCGACGCAAAATAAAGTGAAGATTTGTCATAAATTCACGAGATCCCTGTGTCCAAGGGTGTTGTTCCATGGCTACGTACGGGAGGGAATAAAACACTGAATGGTAAAAGTTTAGGGATACGTCACTACAGGTCAAAGAAAAGAAGTAGTACAAATCGAGACGATATATCATTCTGTGTGATGCTTAAAAGCAATCGGTTAATTGATCCTCAGGATTGCCAAAAAAGAGCCTAAAAATGTCTGAAAAGTGGAGTTTAAATTCAGGTTATTTGGAGGGAAAGGATATCAAAAAGGAAAACGAATAAAGAATGGTGAAAGTCAGTTGAGATTTCTCATTAAGTAAAACAGCCTTTTCCGTAGAAGCCATCATATCCTCGTCGTTAAATAAAGTAAAGTTAGTGTTGGTTCGACCATCATAAGCATGTAGCGACTACATACAAAGATATAGAGAATAACTTGGTTTCGATGAATCTCCTGAGATAACATTATTGTTGCGACTTCATTTCATTTTCACCTGAAAAGTGGGAGGTCTCGTTGACTGCATAAATCTCAACGCTGTATAAAAGCCAAACAGATGCAGTACAACGGGATTCAACCGTCCTCTTCTGATGAGATCGACCTTTGAATCTCTTCTTCATAAACTTTCATACAATATGAAAATCTCAACAATACTAACAAAGGACCCAACAGTCAAAATCAGAGGAGCACTGCAAGAAATGCTGAAGGAAATTAATAGGAACGGGGAAATCGACAAACTGACAATGAACTCACTCATATGAAAGGATGCAAGAGCACAAGTAGCATACGGTTTACCGAGGGAACACAACGGCAAGCTAGTGAGACTGATAATCAACAACAACATGAACCGACACATAAATTGGCGAAATTTATCTGCCTCAAATTAAAGAAAGCGAATGATGATTATCGAATATAGTGAAGAACCTATATGAATTTTGCCAAAGAATCAAAGGTGCAATGTTAAAAAGAAACTAACTTTTGATTATCTTTGATGTACAATACATGTACACTAACATCACAGGATAAAAAGCATTCACCAGACTATTGGAGATCTTGGAAAAAGAAAATGACATCCTAGAGACAGAGCGAATACGAAGAGTCTCTAAGCCGATTAATCAACCTAACAATAGCAACCTAAAGAAGTTGTTTGACCTTGTTTTCGCAACTCGGTCATATTGGTGGGAAGACTTAAAGGAACGCACCTAGTCCGGAGTCCATTGTCTGTATGACCATTTCCAAAGTTGAGCCGTAGACATGGGACATTCCCAAACGTTTCGCCGACATCTTAGTCGGCATCGTTAGTGAGTATCACCATTCTTGGCACCATACAACAACTCGTCAAATAGACAAGTGAAGCTGATCCTTTGACCAAACGTGTGCTAAACAATCAGTCACTCCAACGCAAGGGAGGGCGAATAACGCCTCGAGTAGGACAGATGTGGTGGCAGGAGTCGAGTGAAATAGGTGAACGAGGGAGAGTACCGACGGATTTTACGGAGCAAGAGAGAGACTGGGATAAGACTAGGAAAGAGGACTACATAATAATAATAAAGCAGACTCTGATCAACATTCCCTGCACAAGGATGAAGGGAGGGGGGTGAGAACGACAGTTGGAGTGTGAAGGTGTCATGTCGCACAAAGGAGCACACCACACTATGTCTAAATAAACACGGTAAAAATTGTAATTGTGAAGGCATGATAGGATGAAACAGGAAACGCGAATAACCCAGGGCAGAAGGGGAGATACCACAATTGTTTAGCACATGTTTGGTCACCTGTCTCTTTGACGAGTTGTTGTGTGGTGCTAAGAATGGCGATACTCACTGACGATGACGACTACGATGCCGGCGGAACGTTTGGGAATGTACCACGTCCACGGTTCAACTTTGCAAATGATCATACAGACAGTGATTTTAAAAGTTGTTTGACCTTGTTTCGCAACTTGGTCATATTACTAGGAAGGCATAGAGAAACGCACCTTGTTTGGAGTTTATAGTATACATTATCATTTCCAGGGTCGGACAGTGGACTCGACACGTTTATTTGGCACAAAATGTCACACCATCCTGGCCTTCATACAGTGATTTTGATGTTTAATAGCGGCCAATTGAGAAATAGGTAGAGAAAAAAGAGAGGGGGGGAGGATATAGGTCCCTTTTGCAGATGTCCTGCAAACGGCATCTGGTACCGGTGGTGAAGATGATTACGCTTCACTAAACCCATTTGTAGTGACAGACTCTTAGGTTATATTGGAGGAAACGAGAGCACATAATTGTGTGAATAAGTGGATGAGCCATATAAAATGGGGTTGAGAGAAAGAGAGGGTCGAACAAAAATGAGGGCGAGGAGTGATGCATTGAAGCTAACTGGCACTCGAGCTTTGTGATATGCTACCATGTAAAACAAAAAGCCCGGCCTCGAATCCCGTTATGGATGCTGTGATCCAGAAGAGGTCAAAAGTGTAGTCCAACCAAGACAAGAAATTTCTCTGGGATGGCTAGGCAGAATTTGGTCACATGGTGGAATGATCCTTTTTCAATGTGGATAGCCGAACTATCAGACCTTTCATCACTCCTATTCATAGCATTGTGAATAAACTAAAATATCAATCTTTAAACCACCCTAAGCAACCTAGGGCGACTAGATTCTTAATAAAATCACCTAGGTTAAGCATAATTCCTATGAATTGTAGTCAAGAAGACATAAAGTTTCTCCCGTAAATCGTCACTAAGCAATCAAAATAAGCTATTAAAAATAGAATTGACTTACAAAGATAAACATAATGAAAGCAGCAGCCAGATAGGACGATCTGGACATGGTGATGTTGACAAACCGATAATGCTCACCAGTGACCACATTACGCATGTAGCCTTTGGTGGACTCGGTCTCTGCCAGTCGTTTCACACTTCCAATCAGGATGTCACCGTAGCCCAGAAATTCGTTTAGAATGTATCGAGTGAAATGATTGCCGAAACAGGGATCGGTGGCAGTGTCTATTAAAAAGACGTTATAAAAGAAAAACAAGGAATTGAGTCATATCAAAACAAAATAATAACTGATTTCGAGCACTAGCCAGTACAATGAAAGAAAATATTGTAAACTGGCTTGTCAAATTTTAATCCATAGATCTATCATCAATAAGCCGATTAGAAGTATCCAAATAATATATTTTCTCTTAGGTGCTCCTATACAATAAAAAATATACCTTTCGTTGGGTCTACTAGACTTTATATAAGAAAATAGTAGTAGTGGATGAGAAGACCTTTAGGGAAGGGAAGGCCATGTGAAATTCAATTGAAACGTCATTTATACTCAAATGGTTGTGGGAAAATTCAACTGACAATCCTTCATCACCTTGAATGAAATAGGGTTAACACAGCTCATATAAAGTCTGTGCAACAAAAGTAGTCCTCCTAAGGTGGATTCATTGGCACAGTTGATGAGATATTTTGCTTTTTACATGGACACTGGGCTAGCACAGTCCCCACTCGGAAATCCAACCTACTTTTTCCTATTGCAGATGCATATGTGGCATGGGAAATGAATGGTGTGTCGAAGTGGCATATGCTAAAGGAGGTTCGCGATGCTCGACGTTCCAGAGGGCTGACTCAGTTGAGTATACGATGGTGCAACAGTAGGCTTCTGATTTTCAGAAAACCAAGCGTCAGGACTTTTCGCAAGGGATTTATTAAAGTGAAGGTGCGAGTGAGCACGCGAAATAAATGGAGGAGATTGCCTCGGAAACGGCGTAAACAAGAATGCTCCAATAAAGTCAATCGACAGCTGATCAAAAGGAAGCTGCAGTAATCTTCTGATGAGATCGACCTACGGATCACTTGACTAAAATGGCTTCACCTAAGAACCAACTTCAAATCTACGATACGTCCCGGCGCTGTGCTCCTTCGCAATCTCCCAGCACATCTATCACATGTAGCTATACGATTCCAGAACGACGTTTTAGTTAACTGTTTTCGGCAATATTTTGCTTATCCAACCTTCATCCATTTTTGCACAAAGAAACAGCACCTACTGCCTATCTATGAAGGCCTGATTACAATAAATCCTTTACACAAAATGTGTTCGTCCTATATTTCTCCAATCAGCCAAAGAACAGACCTATTGGCACTACACGCCTAATTAATCGGATCATTTGAATAGAACGAAAATTCATATATATGAGATATATTCAGTCTATTTCCGTTAAGATGATTACGGTACTAGTAGTTAAATTTTCCCACAATCATATGGGTAGACCTTGAGCCTCCAGTCAATTTCACATAGCCTTACTTTCCCAAAAGATATAGTAGTCTCGAAAGACTGCTTATAAAAGAAAAAACGCTGAAAATTCCAATTCGTCTGAATCTAATGATAAGACAAATGGGCTAAAATATATGAGCTCTATAGATAGGCATCTGATTTATAAAGTATGGAGCTCAAACCCGATTAGATAATAGAGTTAAGAAAATCATAATTCTTAACTGCCCTCAACTCATATTTACTGAGGCAGTTTTATCCTCACCTTCCTGAGGGCATGGTCATTAGGCAAGCGGAAAAATTATGCAGCTTCAAGTCCAGTTGGAAATTTTGATTAAATTGGGATAATGTCAACTAAACAAACTGGTCCATTCTGGATGGGAGAAGCGTTTTAAAGTCGAGGCTAGGAGCAGATAAATTCCAAAGCAAAGAACTCTTACTTTATAGCCGGTAGCCAGACTGTTAGGAATTGGATCATATAAGCGACCTAAAGTGACTAAAACACTTAAAAAAGCAAGCCAGTCTATAATGAGGCGAAATAGCGATCTTGGAGAAGTAGGCTCTTTGTCTACTATTTAAGTAAATAGTAGATAAGTATAGGTGTACGTCGAATATTAGTTAATAAGAACTTTGTCACCCTAAATCGCTTAAGGTGATGTATGGAGTGCTAATGGAGTTTTCACCAGAACTAAATAAATAGGCTTCACGATGCAATTTAATTGCCTCGACTCCCACAAGCTCTTCTCATCCAGATTAAACTGCAGTTGTGACTTCGCCCAGATCTCATCAGCATCCGGTTTCGAAGACCGTTGGGGATGTGGATTGGACCTAGATGAGGTAGAACTGCAGTCAAGCCTGCAGGAGGAAATGCTACGAGAAATTCAATGGCAGCGTGTGGACGCTTAAATCACTTTACTATTCGATAATTACTGATTATTATGAAACATACTTATACCGAAAATTATTATTATTCCGTAGGCATATCCAGGATCTTCAGTTTAGCTTCAGTTTTTATGCTGTAGTGTTACTTCAGTGGGACATTCGAGAGCAGATCCTAATAAAAAGACAGCAAGAGCTTCTGAAGGATGTTACTTAATCTAGACGAATCAAATTATAATTAATAAAGGAAAAAAGAGCTAGTCTATGCTGTATTATCAATGCTAATTCTATTAATAGGTGCTCTCATAGTTTACGACTGGAGTCCAGGATGAAGATCAAATTCTAAATGCATACTCGAGGGTTATGTTTGAGTGGAAGAATTGTAATTTCCTGAGGGTGTAAAAACGCATATGAAATATGCAAATTTTATCCAAGTATCAATCACCTGTTCATAGTAGTTACATAATTAAAGTAACTATGATGTCAAAAGGGGCCTTAGGATGCCAGCTTCTTACTAGACTGAATGTGAATAGTTATCGAAGATAACACGATATAGATGAATGGACAACCTGGTTAATGTAGGTAGTGCATGGCCCGATAGCCCAGCTCCAACTGATAGTTCTGAGAACTCGAATTTGCTGAATAATTTTACTATGATTCGTGGAGAAATATTGAAGCCCGTAACCAATTTTGAGTAATTAACATTGTGTAATACAAAAGGTAACGCAGTGTGGACAGTCTCCAAAGAGATCCTGGAATCATATCGAGGCCAGTTACAGAGCCAAAATGTTTTTAATTTTTACAATCCACTATCCGCGAATTCATTAAATCGTCCAGGTAACCGCCCACAGAAAGTATAGCATATAACAACTATAAAGATGTTGTTAACTCAAAAAATCCAAGGCCAAGGCATGAGCCAAATCATTGGCCCCATAAAACAACATAAAAAGATAAAAACTCAAACCCCGCACGTCAGTTTCATATCTTGTTTTTCCAACAAATCATAAGCCTTCACTTCCTCCACGCATAACGCTTATTAAGATAATAATAATAATAGAAAAGAGTAAGGCTATTATCAACCCTTTTTCCATGGCAGATATATTCATTGCTGAGGCCGCCTTGGGATGAGAAAGAATGGCTAGTATGAAAGGCAAGTCGAAGTTTCTTACACAGCAATGGCGATAAACTCGACTCCTCCTAAGCAGCCATAGACGTATTCTTCCGTTAGGACAGTTTCGGCACAAAAACACTCATTTTTTCAAAAGTGAATAACTAATTTAGCGTATTTGGCATTTTTTTCTTTGCTGAAATGGACAAAATAATACCTTTTTCTGCACATCTAACTTCGTTTCCGTCACCAAGTAAAGCTTATACAGAGCAGTCACACAGTAAATGACTTGAAAGATGCAACTGAGGCATGGCTGCTGTGGCCACGGCTAATTCAAACTAATGACTAATTACGAGTAGAACATTAGGTTAATTAAGCCCTTGTTCAGACTGTATTTAGGCGAAAAAAAGCTAGTGAGCCGGGCATCTTGAGCTTCCTAGCCAATGATTTAGAGAGTCATCTCATGCTATGGCTGTTCTATTTGTTCATCTATTCCTTTGAACTAATATGTAAATGGATTGATAAATAAGAACGGCGCAAAATGAAATAATATTAGTTAGCAATATTTTGTAAATTAATGGAAATCCAGGGCTTCTAGTAACTGGGTGCATTGTAGTTGGTGTTTAACACTGGCAGAATCAAAGCCATGGATATGTGGGTTCCCCAGATATGAGCAAAGGAAGATATGTCTTATATTAAGTCGCATTTTTTCCGTAACTTAAAGGAAGTAGGGACTTATGGCTAAGGACGCAATGTATTTAGTATATGCAAAGAAGAGTTGGCTTCCGAGGAATCTCTTGTTTCATAATTGCTAAGTCTACTTCCATTTCGAGTGCAAGTGTTTGGTGAAGGCCGAGAACAGACGTTACTTTTGCAATCCTAATTGCTTTGAGCCATCACTGCTGGTTTCATGCATAAGCGCATACGCATACAGAGACAGACACACTCACAGGTTTCGAGGTTGACGTAAGACCGTAACTGACCAAATCACTTTATAGCTCATCAAAGAGGCCAAATATAGAGTATATATACCGCTTTTTAAGGATTTGCCGGTGAGTTTCTTGAATCGTTAGCTTGAATATGGTTGTAAGGATGATACCTCGCTCCGATGATGTTCGTCATATGACGGACGGAAGCTTAGCACCTTTTCACCGGAATCAAAGGAGATTACCTCGGAAACACTACCAACATGAATGTTCCAGTAAAACCGCCATCATCTTCTGGTGGAATCGACCTTCGATTCTTTTCACCAAACACTTTCACTCGAAATGGAAGTAAGCGTAATGTATTTAGTTCTGAACTAGCGCATCTGCAGTACGTATGCCGCTGGAGATGCGAGTGGAACGAGAAAGGGACAAAGAAGCAGAGTCCAACCAGCTCGTTGTGACAATGAAATTACATAAAAAATCAAGCCTTCCTTACAAATAAACGATAATGGAGAAACCAACATAGTTTAAACAGAATTGATGGTTTAACCACTGGTATGTAGACCAAGATAGTGTGACCTTTTGAATAGTCTCAGTCTCCTTTAGCCTCCTTGCTTTCACAACTTGGTCATATTAGTAGGAAGACCTAGATGAATGCACCTTATCCGGACTCCATAGCATGCATGATCATTCCCAGATTCGTACTGTGGATGTAGTACATTCCCAGACGCTTCACCGGCATCGTCAGTGAGCATTGCCATACTTAGCACCACACTACAACGACAAGTGAAGCACATCCTTTGACCGATTGTCTGCAAAGCAATTATGGTATCTCTCCTTCCACCATGGCCTAATCACCAATCTTATATGCTCGTATCACAACTTTTTTATTGCTTATTTAAGTGTGGTATGGTGTGTCCTTTGAACGGATTTTACGAGAACTTTCCGCAACCCACGCTGGCTTTCTCAGCCGCTTTCACCCTTGCGTTGGGAATCTGTTCTGCAGTCCTCCTCTAAAAGATCTTACCAGAGTTTCCCTCTTGCCCCGTAAGATCCATCTGCTCTCTACCTGGTTCAGGTATTTCACTCAACTCCTGCCGCCCCATCTGTCCTGGGAGACTAACTTGATGCTAAAGAGCATAAGTAATTCTCATAATTAAGCCTTTGCTTCATGGCCACATCCATGATCAAGCACGTCAATTGTTAGTCAAATTGTAGTAGTCTCCGCATTAGTCTCTTGTGTGCCAAACCACAAATGTTGTGGTTTACCTTGTTTCGATTAGGTTCAATGTAGAACAACAAAATCTGTGGGTTTGCATACAAAAGAAAGAGCATAAAAGTCATAGTTGGATAGAAGCAGAAGAAATGCGGTTGAGACAAGAACTAGTTCGCTAACAGTAGACTTATTGTGGCATAACTCTCCATTACGAAGGGACAGTTGATTGGAATGAAACTGAAAGAGGATTGCGGCGTAGGGAAGACAGTTGAATTGTGCGAAGAAATCCTCGTCTCACCGTCACATCATCAGAGCAAGATTCCATACGTTACGAAATTGAGCAAAAATATACTAAACCAAAAGGGAAGAGGGCCGGCTACAACCCTGGTCGCTTTCTTATGTAACTAACATCGGGATCTTAATAAGGCCCTCACTGATTTGGTTGCCAACTTCAACCTTCCTTTACAGGCTAGCAAATGAATGAAGTTAACTTCCCGAACTGGAAATGTGTTCGGTGGCAGTTGTTTCATCGCACAAAAACTAGCGTACGATAGCCTAATGCTGAATCAGGTTTTGGCTTTTTCTATTGTCCATTGTCTATTGCATGTATGTAATGCTCATG